AATATGACCGTTGGAAAAATATGACCGTTGTAAAAATATGACCGTTGTAAAAATTTGAAAAAATATGACCGTTGGAAAAATATGACCGTTGTAAAAATATGACCGTTACAAAAATATGACCGTTGAAAAAATATGACCATTTGAAAAATACGATAGTAGAAAAATGTAACTTTCACAAAAATATAATTATATTTAGAAGAATGAAAAAAATAATAATTTGAAAGAAGTTAGTTTTTTTTTTTTAGATTGGAAAGAAGGTAGTTAAAGTATAAGAATATTTTAATAGAAGATAGCTAAAGTAGATAGCCTTGTTGGAGTGTATATTAAAAAAATGACTAGCTAAAATAGTAAAGTGAAATTTTGAATAGCTATTTTAACTAGCCTTGCTGGAGATGCTCTTATAAAGTCAAAAAATTAGATTGAGCCAAAGAAGCTGATTAGTGAGGTGTGCGCCCGAGCCTCGGAGAGAATTTCTCCTTGAAACGCAACCCCCCTCGCCAGATTGCATCTCTCCACTTTTCTCTAGAGTGAGAGAGAAAGAAACCTCTTTACTCAGAGAGAGAGAGAGAGTCTCTAAACACACAGTGAATTGGATGCTACTATAGCCTCTTTTTCTGTGTTGTTTTACATGAATAGACTGCTGAGAATACGCAAATTTCTGGGTTTTTCTCTGACGATGATGTCTTTGGGGTTTTGTTGTTTTTGGGTATAAAGATTTTTTCATTTTTGAGGGTTTGAGAGTGTTGTAGTTGTCTGATGGGAATTGGGTTTAGAGGAAGGGAGGGTCATGAGGAAGTCTTTCAAGGATTCCCTTAAAGCGCTTGAAGCTGATATATATTATACAGCACGCCAATACCCTGTAATCTCTCCTCTCTCTCTCTCTCTCTAAATATACATATCAATATATATATATATATATATATGTATAGTTGATTGCACTGAGCTGACTAATAATTTAATTTTGACAAAAGCTGGAGATTTAATGCAGAAATATTGATTTTTCTGTTTTTTGATGAACAGAATTGTATTTATAATTTTTGTTAAGGAATTGTTTAGTGATATTTCTCAGGAAATGGCCTTCTTTGGTTTGTGTTCTTCAAAAAAAAAATTGGAAAAAATTCACTACAAATAAGTTTTCAAAAGTAATCAAATCAAACAATTTTTCCAAAAAAATTTTCCAAAACTTGTTTCATTTACAAGTTTTCCAAACAAATCTCTCTCATACACATCAAATCAATCACTTTTTTCAAAACTCTCTCTCAAAATAATTTTTCAAAACATCTTTGAAAAAAAAACCAAACCAAACAAATTTTCGTACTTTTTATCTCAAAACATGTTTCTCAAATACAAACCAAACAAGCCTTTTTATTATATATTTATGCTTATGCTTATATAGTTTATCATTCTCAGTTATGCATTTGTTTCTTGATGATTATTTTTCTGCATTCCTTTTTTATATTGTTTGTTTGCTTTCTGATGGGAATTCACATTTTAAGGCCAAAAAAATTTCTTGGTTATTCTCAATTTAAAAATCTAATATGTGTGCCTATATATTCTTACCAAAACAATTTGTGTATATATATATTTATTATATATATTAGATTGAAACAATTCTGCTCCAAATTAGGCAACTTTGCCTTACTAGATGTTAGTTCAGAAAGTTTTTCCCAACTGGTAGACCGGTAGTGTGCATAAGGTTTTTGTTGAATTGAATCATTAAAATAGGTTTCTAAAATATTGATTTCATTGGCATCCGGATTTATGTAATATGTGTGCCTTTATATTCTTACCAAAACAATTTGTATATAAATTTATTTGTAACGTATGCATTTATATTTTTGTAATCGCCGGATAATTCATGGATTGCTTGCTGCTCCAAATTAGGCAACTTTGCATTCTTATTTCCTAATTTGGAACGTTTTGCCAAACAGTGAATGTGAAATGTTTTTGTTGGATTGAATTATAAAATAGGATTAAATTGGTCCTCCTCCCTCACTTCATATTATGAATTTGGAAAATAATAGAGGATTGGTAATTATAAAATGGGTTAAAAATATCGAGACGTTACAAATTACAATCATCGGCTTCTATTGTGATTATTGGATTGGATAAAATTAGATTGAACCACAACTTCTCAAATTGCCTTAAATATAATTTGTTCGAAGGCGAGGAATGTGTGAATTTTATTCTTAGATCTTAATTCGCTTTTCTTTATTTGACTTTACTATTTTCTCTTGAGATACAGGGCTTATGATTATCCACAAGAATATGACAGTACGTGCCTTCAGATGAGATTATCATACAGTCCATGTTCTCGCACTTTCTCTTTCTTGTTCAATGGACTGATTGTCACCTTGCGGGTGCCCTTGGATTGCTTAGAATCTTTATTTATAAGGTCGTGTACATTTTTCCGTGCATTTTGTGTTGTTATGCTAATTCTCTTTTACTTGGAGATGCTTCTTCTTTTTTTTTCCACAAACTTGGAGAAGTTTCTTGTTTTATTGAGTTAGAAGGCAATGACTTTGATGGGCACTTGCAGGCTTATGAGGATGGCAAGACTACCATGTGTTTTTATGAAAGGAAAGCTAGCATTAGAGAGTTTTATGGTGAGTGGACTGAGGAGCCTGTTTTTGAAAACGGTTTTCAGGAAAACCTTTTAAACTTATACGCATCAATTGATATATCAATTAACGGATGATGTGTTATAATTTTAGAGGCTTTGAGTCTTGTAGTTTGTATAATGGGTGAGGTTCATAATTTTGAAGTGACAGTGTCATAGCATATACTGGTACACACTAATTAGTAAACCAATTGGTGCATGTAACACCGCCCTCTGGCAAACTGTTGCTAAAAACGGTTTTCAAGAAAACAACCCACTTTTTTTTTTACCAAACACCAAAAGGTTGTTTTGGAAATTTCGAAAATTGCTTTCACACAAAATTGAAAACAATGGAAGTTTTGAAGCTTTTCATTGCTTTATTTCTGAAAACATGAAAACGTAAAACCAAAAAACAAAAATGAAGAAAATGACAATAAAACCAACTCTTCCTTTCTGGGGTGAAAAATGACTTATTGCCACTGCCTATTGCATCATTCAACATTGTAATTCAAATATTGGGGAAAAGAAGAAAAAAATTTATTGTATAGTTGCTTGGTTCACTGTGCGCAGGTGTAATATTTCCCCCTTTATTGCAACTTCAAATAGGAATCACTGACGTTGAAGATAGAAAACAGCGAGAGATCTGTGCAGCCAAGTACAAAAGAAGAGATGAGATGAACAAGGGTAAGGTCTCTGAAATTGATATAGAGAGAGAAGAAGAATGTGGCATCTGCCTGGAGATAAGCAGCAAGGTTGTCTTGCCCAAATGCAATCATTCGATGTGCATGAAGTGCTACAGAAATTGGTGAGCAATAAGTGCATGTGTGCCCATGTTTTGTACGAGTGTCTTTTTAACTTGATGATTTTATGATGGCATGTGGCTTCAACAATGCTTCAAGATTAGATTACATGCTCTGCATAACCAATAACTAGAAATTGGTGGATACCCTTTTGACTGTTTTGAGTTACACAAATGCTTCTCACTATTGTAGAATTGGATTTGCAACCTTAAAACTTTTTTGAGTCGATTAATGTTGCGTCGAATTATTGTTTCAGGCATACTCGGTCTCAGTCATGCCCATTCTGTCAGGACAGTCTCAAAAGAGTAAACTCTGGTGACCTCTGGATCTACACCAGTGGCTGTGATATCGTGGACTTGTCTTCAATTGCAAAGGAGTATTTGAAGAGACTAATAATGTACATTGACAAGTTGCCCCTTATCGTTCCTGATCCAATGCTCATCTCTTATGATCCCCATTTCCGGTTAGATGAGACCTATCTACGTCTTCAAGAAATGGAAACATTTGTGTGTATGGATGGTTCTTTCATGTTGTATGTAAGTTTCTATTTGTTCTTTGTTAGACATTCATTTCATCAAAGCTGTATATACATGTTGGCCATTGTCAGCAGGCTCTCTAAAATGTTGTTTGAATTATATATTTAAGTAAACCCCCAGATTTTAATTTCTGATGCAAAATTGCCCTTCGGTGGTGTGTAAACTACTTCCAAACTAATGGTGTTTACTGAAATTTCTTCAAATCCCCGTTCTTTGTTTAATTTCTCTAGTTTTTCATCTACCCATCACCCCTTAACCACCTACTACCACCCCCACCCCCACACCACCACCACCATCAACCATGCTCTTGTGGCTCATCAACACACATTGTTTTCCATTCTCTCTTCCAAAATCAATATTGCCACATCTCTCTCTCTATCAAAACTCATCATCACAGCTCAACACCCATTTTCTCTCTTTACCAAAATTCACGACCCAGCACCACACTCACTTATTCTCTCCACCATGACCCACCACCACCATTAACCCTCACCACCCTCTCATTTTCATTTTCATTTTCTTCGTTTTCCAAAACCACCATTATCATACTCACTTATTTCTCCTAGCATCTTTGTGCTAGGTTTTTCCTTTACTTTACTTTCCTTTTTTTTTTTTTTTTAATAAAAAAGAAATCTCACTAGTCATCAATGGACCAAAGGTTGAATGAGATAAGCTTTTGTTGTTCATACATTAAAAAGTGAAAAGGATAGAATGAATGATCATCAAGAAAAGAACAAAATGAATGCTGTTTTCCTTTCCTTTTCTCTTTCTGTTTTATTATTGTCACCACTACAAAAGAATGGTGAAAATCAAAGCCAAGCGTTCCTCAATTAGTTCATGGAAAGTTCTATCGTGCTTCTAAATTTTTCAATATTGTAAGCTTAGTTAGTTGCCAATAATCATTTGATTTTTCTTTTATTTTTTATCTGAAATCAAAATGATTCTATGACAAATTTCCTTGATAGCCAACAATTTCTTCATCCACCAATATCAAGTTGCTGTATGGCCATGATAGCGAAAATGAGTATAAGCCCTAAAATATGGTAGAGAATTAATCCAAGTCAATGAAAGATGAATGAGATGCTCATGTGAAACCAACGAGCCATCTCTCATTCTTAATATATACACATTTAATTCTAACTAAAAGAAAATGTAGGAATAATATGCTTAAGATATCATTTAAAGCTGAGGAGTGCTCTGTGAGAACTTATAAAGTGCTAGGAAACATGCTCATGCTGAGCAAACAAGTAATCTAACATGATAACACAGCATTGCACAAGGCATATTTTCATGTTCAACCGGTTCAAAAATCACATGATGTAACCCAAAGTATGAACATACAAACATCCATCACATATGCCCTTGATCAGCCAAAACTTCCAAGTTAGAAAACACCCAATTTCAGTCCTCATCTTCGTCATCATCATCCTCCTCTTCCTCCTCTTCGTCATCCTCCTACACAAACACGTAGGTTAGAATTGGCAACAGAAACACAGGGATAAATGCCTGGTTCCAGAAAAATAGTGTCAAGTCTCTTATTTTCAACATAGTGATATGAAGAAGCAGAAAATTTATTTTGTAACAAGAAAATAATGTTTATGGATGCCTCCACGGGGAAATATGGACATACACCCCAAAAAAGCACCATTATTGGCAACAACAACAGTGATGCAGCGAGTCACAATTCAGCACGTCTTTGGGAGTCAAAGCCAAGTAGCCCAAGCTCAACACATTCTAAAGTATGAAACGTCAAAGCCAAACAATTATTCACATTAAGAAAGGACAGTTATCTTACCCAAACCCCAGACTGCCAACAAAAAACAAAAGATGGAACTTACTCAAAAGGTCCAAAAACATTAAATTATACAGTTAATACATATGACAATACTATTAGGATATTATTCCAAAACCCATCAACATATTCAATATCTATGGATACTCTATACCATGACATAGCAACTCCAATACTAGAGGAATGAATTACCTGCTCACTTTCCTCATCATCATCATTAATTTCAGACTTAGACTTCTCAGATTCCTCATCATCAACCATACTTTCCTGACAGGATAGAAAGGGAGAGAGAGATTAAGCAAAGTAAATAAGCAAACGAATGAGAACTAACTTGACAATATAATAATGGCAATGTCAGCATATTGATGCAAACGTGTTCACCTGCTTCTTGTTATAAGTAAATTTGATGTATAGAGAAATAGAGAGAATGAATTATGTATTATTGATTGATTTATTGAATGTTACAATGATTCCTATATATAGAAGAGTAGGTGGTAGTAGGTGGTAGGTGGAGTAGGTGAAGTGGAGGTGGTAGTGGTGTAGTGGGTTAGGTTTAGTGGGTGAAGTAGGTGATAGGTTTTAACAATAACTTTCCTGTGTCACTGACAAATATTTGTTTGACATGACTTACTGCAAGACAAACTAAATAAATAAATACATAAAACCCAGAGAACGAATAAATAAGACATCTGAATCTTTAGGCACTGGGTGTTTAATTATTAGTATCCGACTATTCATCAAACACTGAAAACATCAATGGTCATATGCCAAATCAAGTTCAGTTTGCAGCACTAACCTTTGCAGTGTATTGGCAAACAAAATCCAAGAATTTCGGGTCAAAGAAACCAACCAATTAAAAAACTGGTCATCTTTTTTTTCTAACATACATCCAGGCTGGTTCTATTTACTTTTAAGAAATGCTTTTTTGAGTACTTACTGCTGCAGACATGGATTTCCACTTCTCTCCACCAGCTTTACCGACCTTCAAAGTGCCAGATGAAGGTATCAAATGATTTCCTTATTTCACATAATCAAATTGATCTACATCATACATGAGAACTTATGCCCGCAAATAACTTACAGCTGAGACAGCTTTCACAAGTGGGTTTTCTCTCTTGAAAGTCTTTCTAAACTCCTCACTGTAACATTATATGGCTCAAATCAAATGAAATCTTTGAACTATGTAGTGAAACTCAAAAGTAATTTCTTATAAATTACAAGGAGAGGATTAATAATACATACAGGAATACAAAGAAGGCACTGGGCGGCCTCTTAGGCTTGTTGGGGTCTTTCTTGGCCAAATTTTCCTTCTTGGTATTTCTTTTGCTACTCTTATCTGCCTTGATGACAGCTTTTCTCTTCCCGACCTTTCTGAAAAGAAGAGAGAGATATATGGTCCGTCATTATAACATTCCTGTTACCACTGTATCCACCATTGAATATAAAAATTAGATGTCAATAGAACCCAAATTGACTTGACCTCGAAACTACTAGCCAAGATTACAACATTAAACACATTAATTCACAGTCATAAACTTAGCTAACCTGTCGTCAACAGGCTTCAACGCCTCTTTTGAAATCTTGTTTGCTGCCGACTTACCTTTGGCAGCCTTCATTGTTACAAGTGAATGCCTAAAATATGAAAAACCCTAAAATTAGATGAAAAAAAAATTACAGATCAATTTTTCCTAACACAATTCTAGATCTCAAACATGTAACGTATGTGTGTATATATAATAAAAGTATTATAGAGGCCAAAGCCATACAGGTCAACGCTGGTCAGAGAAGGTACAAAATGAAGCATTTCTAAAAGAAATCGAAAACAAAAATTTAAAACAAAAACAAATAAATAAATGATCATCCTAGTAACGTTAACAAACAAACAAAATGGATTGAATTAATCAAATTAAACACACACACACACACAAAAAAAAAAAAAAAAAAAGTCACAAAGAAATAGTAATTAAAGTGATTTATTATTGAAAAAATTCAATCCAACAAATTAAAGTGATTATCCTAGTAATGTTAACAAACAAACAAAAAATAGATTGAATTAATCAAATTAAACAAAAAATAATAAAATCACAAAGAAACAGAACTGATAAAAACTAATACTAGTAATTAAAGTGATTTATTATTGAACAAAATCAATCAAACAAACAGTGTTCCAGAAACTAAAGCAACAAAATCGCAGAATTACAGCTCACAGAACAAAATAATCAACAATCCAATCCAATCCAATCCAACAAACTTCATAAACACACAAACAGATTTATGTGTATATATATATCAAGCAGAGACAGATCTGGAAATGAAACATACCTAGAAGATCGGAGATCACACAGTGAGAAACAGAGCAAAACTCAGAGGAGAATCAAGCGACAGAGCAGCAACCTAGAGAGAGAGAGAGAGAGAGACGGAGGTACGACCGAGTGAGAAAGACGTGAACTGGATTTTAAGTGACCGGACTAACCGGTGACCCTTTTAGGAATTTGCTGAAGAAGAAGGGCAAGAGAAAGGGGTGTGACTGGGTATAGCCGGTTGTGTGGAGTAGAGAATCTTCTGATTTTTCATTTCATTAGTAAATGGGTTTTGGTGGGCGAAAAAGCTAGTGTCCAGGGCATCTCAGAATTGTCTAAAACTGAGTGTATGTTTTGAGAGTTAAATTGTTGAAATATAAAATTTAAATATAAGTTACTAATGTAAAATTTTAAATAATTTTTAAATTTTTATGTCTGGTACATACCTTTACTGTTTGGGTGGTAAAGTGTTTGGAGTGGTGCTTTATTGCCGCCAAAGTAATCCCATGCATGCAATGACAATGTAGATATCTCTTGGCATGCCTGTATGGCTGACACGTATACGCTTTGCAGGCGACTTTGGATATTGGTGTTTGTTTGACACCAATTTTTGTATCATTCTGGTTGTTTTTTTGTTTTTATTTTTCTTCTCTTAGATTTTTGTATAATATTTTTATACTGGAAAAAGAGATGCTTCGTGAGAGTATCACAGCATTCATAGGTCCTGATCTCGAGATAGTCGATTGACGGTCAGATTTAACTTAAGGTCAAGTTTGGCTACTCAAAATAAGTACGCACTTTTTGTCTTTTTATCTTTTTTCCATCACATCACCTCTCTACTTTTCTGCACATCTTTTCGTAAAAAGACAAAAAGTACACTTATTTAGGTCATTCCAAACAACCCCTAAGTCATAAAAAGGAATTTACTACCAGAGTAACAATAGACCTATAGATCTCACTCATCTCCTATAACAAGAGGCAAAGTTACAATTAAAATATAATATTTTATCTTCTAAAATCGGTACCTCTTAAAAGGAAAATGACTGGTAACTCGAAAAAAGTGACCCGATTTTGGCTCGAATCGCAAAACGACGTCGTTTTGCGATTCTCTTTCTTACTTTTTTTTTCTTTCTTTTCTTTCTCTTCCTTTTCTTTCTTTCTTTTCTTCTTCTTCTTCGTTGAACACAGGAGAAGAACAGAGGGGAAAATGAGGAGAAAAGGGCCCCTCCTATGCCTCTGCCGCCGCCGATCGTCGCAGCAGTCCCGATCGTCGCAGCAGTAGCTCTGATCGCGCAGCCCCACGCAGCCCCGCCTCCGACCCCACCTCCTCCAGCCCGATTTTGATGACCCCCTCCCCTCCAGTTCTCCTCCTTCCTCCTTATTCCTCCTCCTTCCTCCTTCTTCTTCTTCTCTTCTTCTTCTTCTTCGAATTCGAGCTAAATTCGAGCCTTCGAATTTGAGCTACGAATCGGAGTCACTCTTAAAATTTGAGCTCAGATCTTTCGTATAGAAGGTTGGTGCATTATCTACGCTACCACCACCCCAAGTGGTTTATTTTTGTATATCACTTCACTTTGAAGAAAAAATAAGGTGAAATTCCAATATAAGAGGTTTTGTTCAAAACTAACTACACAATTATGAAAAAATTTATAAATTTATACTTTCAATATTTTTAAAATTTATTATTAATTTAAAAATATTTTTTTAAATATATATTGAAGTGAAATTATCTTGAAAAATAAGGTGGACCTATGATGACAAAAAAATAAATACGCTAACTCGAGGGCTTTGATCTTTCCAAGATTATTATTGTTTTTGAATTTTAAATTTAAATAACAAGTTGTATATAAAATTAAATAACACAAAAAATATGAATAAAATATAATTAAATTTTATCACATTTCTCTCTCATTTCTTTTCTCTCCATAAATATATATTTAAATCTATAATTCAAATACAATCTTAAACTTTGAGATTATTAATAGGTAAGAATGGATTCAAAATGTCAATGTAAAACTTAATTGGCTCGATGTGATTTTTGAAAAAAAAAAATAATCTATATATAAGAAATTAAAAAATAAATGAAATAAATTATCAAAATAAAATCAGTGATGAGTCTCATGATTTTTAAAATAAATAAACTATATATAAGAAATTAAAAAATAAACGAAATAAGTTATCAAAATAAAATCAGTGATGAATCTCATGATTTTTAAAATAAATAATCTATATATAAGAAATTAAAAAATAAACAAAATAAGTTATCAAAATAAAATCAGTGATGAGTCTCATGGATTTTAAAATAAATAATCTATATATAAGAAATTAAAAAATAAATGAAATAAATTATCAAAACAAAATCAGTGATGAGTCTCATGATTAGGCCAAACTAGACCATTTAGCCTCCATTTGGAAAGTGGGCTAGCTTTTTGACTTTTTGACTTTTTTAACTATTTTAGCTTGGGGTAAAAAAACTTGATTTGGGAAGAGCTTTTAGCTTTTTTGACTTTTTTGTGAGAGAAATAATGGAATAATTATGAGTTAGATGTGATATTTTATCTTATTGGGCTAAAAAAATTTTTTTAATTTTTGTGACTAAAATAGTCAAAAAAAACCCCAACCAAAGCTTCCCAAACGAAGCCATCCACCATAAAAAAATAAAAATAAATAAAAAAATTCTCTTACTGAAATTAAAAAGAATATCTTAGGATTGAGATTCGCAATGCTCCTATTAGAATTTTCAACTAACGTGTGTTGTACCACCGGGGGTGGTGGCCTGGTGGAGAAAGTAACTTTAGGCTGAGTAAGGAATCCGTGAAATTCGTAATTTGATTCAGTTCAGTCCAATTTGATAGGTTTGGATTAGTTTTTTGAATCCGCAGTTCGGTTCTGAATTGAAGAATTAAAAATCCGTAATCTACGGATTGGTTCTGGATTGAACCCCACGGTTCCGGATTGGAACCGATCCCGACCGTATACAAATAGTCTATATTTTTATTATACATTCTTTCTCATAGTATCTTCTCTTATTCTATATAAAATCTAAACACAAATCTAAAACCGTATAATATCTTATTTTATTACTTTTGTTTGTTAGTTTTTAGTTTTAATTTGTAACGATCTACATACTTATGGTGAAACCAGTTTTCTTATGGTTGTTTAAATTCTAGAACAGTATGTCGTTATTATAGAAAAACATATTGCTATTGTGGAACTAATATAGCGCTATGTTTATATTTTTATGAAATTAAAGTGTTATATATATATATATATATTTGTTATTTAATTATGTGAATCCGTGGTCCTAAACCGATCCAATCCGTATTTAAATGGATTGATTCAGATTGGTTCCATGATTTAAACGAATTGGATTGGTTTCAATTTTTCAAGAACCGTAAATAGCGGATTGGTCCTGGTTTTACCCCAATCCGGTCCAATCCGGACCATGCTCACCCCTAAGCAACTTATCTCCACAGGCATGACCCAGGGTCGAATCCTGGGAGGAGGTGGAAGTGCTCTCTTTGAGAACTCCCTCTGTACTCCGGTTCGAACCCTCGGCGGCTTGTGGCATATAGTTGAGCTCTATTGGTGCCTTGGTGGTAGGTCCCTTCCTATGGGCTGTCAACCGGTTACCCCAAGGCCTGGGTCTATGGAGGCAGTGATGACACTACAGAGCTTCCTTTTTTGTGATCAAAAAAACAAAAAAACTAACGTGTGTTGTTGCATCTTGATAGGCTCACCATGTCACTCACCTCAATAATTTCAACTAGAATAAAGCTTGAGACCCCCAGTGGGGGTGCTGGGGTCCTCTGTGATTGGTTCAAAAATCAAATTTTTTTTTTTTTTTTTGGTTTTCAAAACACTAACACCATCATAAGTGAACTCAATGCCTCTCTCGCTTTCCCATGATGTGGTTTTCGAAACCAATGCCTCCACCATTCCTGTACCAACACAACACTGAATTAATAAGTACATAATATTAGGTCAAACTGAACTTTGACATTAGTTCAAAAAAAAATGAACTTTGACAAACATAAGTACAAAAAATTGACCCACTATTGAACTTGGCTTCCAAGTGACATGATGGTTGCCAAGTGAGGATTCTCTTTTTGAGGATTCTAGCAAAAAATGGTTGCCAAGTGACATGATGCAATCTATACCTGGAAGTTTGTTAACTAAAGCTCGAGCTTTCTGAGCACGCTTTAAAGTAAGATGAGCACCTCTTCCAGCATTGTATCGATTTTCATCCTATACAAACATCAGGGTGGCAGTTAAACAAGAAGTTTCATGCAGAAGTAATGAAATAGAAAGGGAAAATTACACTTCTAACTCCTTTAGTATGACCAAATTTCACTTTAGTAGCTACTATTTCAAATTAAACAGTTTGATCCCTACACTTCAAGTATAATTTCAATTTGGTCCTTCCATTCAAGTTTGATGTTAAAATTAAAAATTTTTGAACACTTGTCAAACTCCTAAGGTGTACAAATAGGAAGAATTAATGAAAATTTGAATGGATTAACCAAATTGAAACTGGACTTGAAGTGTAAGGACCAAATTATTCAAATTAACCATAGGAACCAAAGTAAAATTTGTGTCAAATCATAGGGGTGGAAAGTATAATTACCCGAATAGAAAATACAAGTACAAAGAAAACAACCAACCATGTATGGTATTTTGGTCTTCTTATCTCAAATTGGACCTAATGGAATAGTCAAAAAGAATATGGGTTGGATGGAATAAAGCTCTTAGAAAATGGATTTATCAAAAGATCATAAAATCTAAAATAAATTCTGTTTCGATAATCTCAATTATTTATTTTATAAAATTATTTATATATATTATTTATAAAAAAAAAAATTAGATGAGTATAACGATTCTAATAATTTCATTTTATGGATTAAATGGGTGAGAATCCAATCCATTAATTGTCATATATATCTAGTCCAATGAACGTCAACCACTTGTTCAAAAAACAAAAAAAACAAAAATGAACGTCAACTACAAAATATCAAAAAAATACTATGGATTCGTTTGAGTAATAGATTGATTTTTTTTGACTTTTTTAATCTTTTAATTTGGAGTTAAAAAGTTTTGTTTAAAAAGGATTTTTGGTTTTTTTAAATTTTTTGTGGAAGAAATAATGTAATGATTATAAATTAGATATGATATTTTGTCTTATTAAATTAAAAAATTTATTTTATTTTTTATGGTGAAAATAACCAAAAAAATTCTAAACTTAACTTCCCAAACCAAACTTATGAGTATTAAATTTTATACTAAATAAATAATTAAATGTATATATGTATGCCACACTTTTAACATTTAATTATTTATTTAGTATAAAATAGTATCTCTAACATTACCAGAAACATCATCAAACATACATTCCACCCAACCAGTGAAAATCAGCCAAGTGTCCACAACCAGATAAGGCAAAATTAGAAGATAGGTAAGGCCGAGACTCTCACACCCGCCAGATGGATACTCTCTTCAATCCAACGGCCACAAATCCCACAAGCCAGATAATCCACCTACACCACACGCTCCCAAAATCTATAACCCAAACCCAAATCACCATCTCTCCCAATCATCTATCCCCACGTCCTACTCATCCCCGGCGCACGTTAGTCCACACAGAGCCATGGCAGCCACCACGTCCGCCGCCGCCACTTCATCCTTCATCGGAACACGGTTCCCCGAAGTCCACTCCGGTTCGGGGCGAGTCCAAGCCCGGTTCGGATTCGGGGCCAAGAAGGCTCCGGCGAAGAAATTTGCGAAGCCGGGTTCGGACCGTCCGCTGTGGTTCCCGGGAGCAAAAGCACCCGAGTGGTTGGACGGAACATTGGTGGGAGATTACGGGTTCGACCCGTTCGGGTTGGGGAAACCGGCGGAGTACTTGCAATTCGAGTTGGACTCGTTGGATCAAAACTTGGCGAAGAACTTGGCGGGTGATATAATCGGGACCCGATTCGAAAGCGCGGATGTAAAATCGACACCGTTTCAGCCCTACAGTGAGGTGTTTGGGTTGCAGAGGTTTAGGGAGTGTGAGTTGATTCATGGAAGGTGGGCCATGTTGGCTACGCTGGGTGCACTTACGGTGGAGTGGCTCACTGGCATTACGTGGCAAGATGCCGGAAAGGTTAATATTTTTATCTCTGAACTGCTTTGCTACACATCTCAAAGAGATCATTTTCTTTTCATAAATCTCATAACTTAATGGTTTTATTGAAGATAGAATCATACAACAACTTAACTAAACATGTGATAAGTTTGTTGTGAAAGAGTTGTAAGTATAAATAACCCTTAAAAATTCTTCCTACATTAAATATTATGTGATTCTCATGGTTATAAATCATCATATGAATTATGAAATGAAATTGATATTTTATATGACCATGGATTAGTTCCTTTCCCAATCATTAACCTTAGTTGAGCCTGGGCAGCTTAAAAACAGAATCATTAATTAAGATATAAGGTTTATGCTTAAATATTAAAGGGTAATTAAAGTTAGTTATTACATATAAGAGTATTGATAATGATTGATTGAGTTTGAACTATATGTTCAGGTGGAGCTACTTGAAGGGTCATCCTACCTTGGCCAACCACTTCCATTCTCCATAACCACATTGATATGGATTGAGGTCCTAGTCATTGGCTACATTGAGTTCCAGAGGAATTCCGAACTCGACCCGGAGAAGAGGCTGTACCCAGGGGGTAAATACTTCGACCCTCTAGGTTTAGCCTCTGACCCTGAGAAGAAGGCAACCCTCCAACTTGCTGAGATCAAGCACGCCCGCCTTGCCATGATTGCCTCCCTTGGGTTCGCTGTCCAAGCGGCTGCCACTGGCAAAGGCCCGCTCAATAACTGGGCGACCCATTTGAGTGACCCGCTTCACACCACCATTATTGACACCTTTTTCTCTTGAGAAACTCCTCTTTTGCCTATATATTATCTCTTTATTATCACTACTCTGGCTGAGAGAGCATTTCACCTTGTATTGATTATTGCCTATGTGTTGCCATCTTGTAAAAATTGCGACGTTTGACTGTTTAAGCAGAGCTCTGTATTGTCTTCTATTGTCAATTACTCTGAGATATGGGCCAAGTATGAAACTACTATGTTGAAACTATTGTCAATCACTATGAAAATACAGAAATGATAAAGAAATCTAAATAATGAGTTTCAAAGCTAACTCTAATAGATTGACGGTGGAAAAAAAAAAAATAGCCAAAACATCACTTCAATAAGTGGAGTCTAGTGATTAGAACTCCTTTACAACTCATTGGTTGGAGCTCAGAAACATTTTTCATGAAAATATGTTTAATCTAACATGGTCAACAAAAGCATTGCCTTAGGTAGGGGTGTAACTTGAATAGACTCAACTTGAGTAATCCAAAGCCAGTCTCAACTCATTGTTAGGAACAATTTATGAATTTTATTATTTTATATTTAAAATTGTGTGAGTGGTTAGTGTAGTTTTTTACTCATGGTTTGTGATGTAAAAATAATATTAACATGTTGATAAAAAAATAATGATTGAAAAGTTGCAAATTATATTTAATTATTCTGTTTCCGTAAACAAGAAAATATAATAAAAACACAACCAAAAAACAAAATTTGAAAATACTTATTAAAAGTTCAACTTGAAACTTAACAAGTTACAAAATATATATTTAAATTTAATTAATTTATCTTTTGAGTTTGAATTCAAATTAACTTTAATTAAATTAATCACGAACTAAACTCGAAATGTGATTTTTATATAATTTAATGTGCTTATTAACTTATTTAACAAAGTTAAAATCAAACTCAAAAACCAAGTCAAGTCTATGAGCGAACAAATAGTTTGATGTTTTCATAACTATTTATTTCTACTATTTCTACCATGACTTTATTTTTAAAAAATTAGTGAAAAATGTGAAAATAATTTATGTTTATTTACCAGAAGTGGTGACACTTGCGTGCATAGATTATTTCCTTATAATGAATAAAGTAGTGGAGAGTTTAGTTGAATCGAAAATTTAAAAGCTGCAGTAGTTTTTTAATTTGAAAATGAAAAGAATTTTTGAGTTATCTAGAAGAATTTTTGTTTTGCCCACAAAATTTATTAAAAGTTGTTTTGGGTTTGATTTTTCTAAAATTGTTTATAGATTGATCTTTTTTTTGAGATTTTTTTTTAAGGTCCCTCGTATTAAGATTTTATAACATAAAAGACATCTAATATTTTTATAATGTCTAAGGTCCCTCAAGTTGATCCAGAGAAAATTGGTCCAGAGAAAATTCACGTCACAGAAAAAATTGGTCAATTTCTCCAGACAACGTAGCAACCCTTTCTTCAAGCAACCTCTTGCTAGAAATCCAGAGAAAGTTGGAAAAGAAGATGTTGCACTCGTTGGGAGAAGAGACGGTGGAGGAGTGGTTGATGGAGAACAGAAAGTGCATACAACATCGAGCTGATTACCAAAAAAAAAAAAAAGAAGCAATAACATCAGTGGGATTTGCAGACTAAGAAGCACAACCATTAAAGGAATGAAATTAAACATACACACATGGGTACAGGTATATGCGAGTGTGAAATCTATGAGAAATTTCAAACCAATTTGTTCAATTTTTTTTTATTTTCTATGTTTGAAAATGTCTCATCCAATTCCCCAAATGGTGCAAATTAGAGTATTTTCTGGTGATTTTAGGTACATCATACATGAAATCCACAAGCAATTGTTAAACTAAAGTTGGTACACACCATAAGGCTACAACTGGATCAAATTCCTGAAGAAGTAAGTACCAAGAAGAAACCAACCTACTATAAGGAAGGTGAAGAAGGCCAATGTCACGACCCAAACCCGCCCCTAAGGGTTTAGTATCGTAACCTGCCAGTAATCCGTGATTACCAAAAGCCTACTTAACAATAATGAGAGTAATACAGAGTAAGGGGTTGGCAGAAGCCAAACAGTAAATAAAAGATGTCCAATGAGCTGTGAAAAACTGAATGGAAAAAGACTTTTATAGACTAGTCCACATCATAACCATAAACATATATACATATCAGATACACGCAACATACAGGTTAGGGATCCAATCCCTTCACCATAACTGTACAGTCAAGAGTCTTAAGTATTCATTACAAAACAGAGACAAAAGGGTGAATATGAGACACTCCAAAACAGCCTTGGCTTTAGAAGACTCAAAACCTCGAAGTGAGGCACAACAGTTGGCTGGACAAAACAAAAGCTTAACTTGACGCATCTAGCTTCGGTCCAGTGCCTGGCCACCGACATATAAATATAAATAGTGTGCTAAACCCTAGTGAATAACAATTGTGTAAAGGGGTTAAGAATGAATGTCCTTTCAATAATTAAAACAGTCATTTGCATCAGTAGATCAGTTATTCAATCAGTGGCTCATATTTCATGCCATATCAGTCAATCAGAAATCATAGCAATCATACGTGGTACATCTAATAGCAAAACAATACAGTAGGTCTTAATAGACCGAACAGTCGGTTGATGGCTATCAAAACAGTAAACAGTAGTAGTTCCCGACATTGGAACTGACAAAGATCTCTGTAACAGTAGTAGTAACAGTAACAGCACAGTAGCAGTAGCAGTAACAGTAACAGTACAGTAGCAGTAGCAGTAACGTTGGAGAAAACCTGAGCACCTTGCAATTGGTCAAATAAGTCATCAATACGAGGCAGTGGGTATTTGTTTTTCACTGTTACCTTGTTCAATTCACGGTAGTCAATGTAGAGTCTTAGTGAGCCGTCTTTCTTTTTCACAAATAGAATTGGTACGCCCCACGGTGAAGTACTGGGCCTGATGAACTTTTTATCCAACAATTCTTGCAGCTGAATTTTCAATCCTTTCAATTCAGTAGGTGTCATTCTGTACAGAGCTTTAGAAATTGGCTGTGTACCAGGTGACATTTCAATAGTAAACTCAATCTCCCTATCAATCAAATCTCCTGGCAAGTTATCTGGAAAAACATCTGAGAATTCTCTAACTATAGGAACACTGTCCACATTAGCTTTAATCTCAGCAGGTACAGTCAATATGCAACATAAATACCCCTTACACTCCTTTTTAATTAATTTGAATGCTTTCATGAACGAAATCAGATATGGGGAAGGTACTACACCAACTCCGTTAAATACATATTCAGGCAATCCAGGTGGACGAAAAACAACTTGTTTCGTTACACAGCCTATGGAAGCATGATATTTTGTTAACCAGTCCATTCCCAAAATTACATCGAAATGATCAATATTCAAAGGCAGTAAATCAATATACAAAAGTACATCCCCAATAACAATCTCACATGTAGGATACACATAAGCACAAGTCATGGATCCCCCAACAGGTGAAGATACAGCTAACAAAAGTTCATGGGTTCTAGTGGTCTATTTAATTTTCGTGAAAAAGCATGCGAGACAAACGAATGTGTAGACCCCGAATCAATCAGAATATAGGCATTTTAAGCACAAATTGAGAGTATACCTGACACAACTGTCTCAGTGTTCTGCATATCTCCCGGTACGAGTGCAAACACCCGGCCTTATATTAAAGGCTCCTTTCCAGTAGCTTTGGGATTTGGTTTTGGTGTAACAGTTGATGTTGCGACACTAGCTGCAGCCTTACTATTGCCTTGAGACATGAAAGGACAATCTTTGACCATGTGGCCCACCTTGCCGCACCTGTAACATGCGCTAGAAATTCTATAACAAACCCCTTTTATGTCTTTTGCCGCATTCAGAGCATGGTGGTATGGAACTGTTTCCCTGACTAGAGCTGTTTGTTGACCCTGTGTTTTGCTTCTTATTCAATGAGTTATTTCGACCCTTTTTGGAATTGAAGCCTTGCCTCTTACCCCGCTATTCGGTCACCGGTGTCTTAGTCTATTGCAAAGCAGTGAGATTTGCCTTGGCCATAATTGCTCGGTCAAGGACATCCATATATTTGAGTAGTTTCAAAACATTGATTTAATCAAGTATCTCTACATTAAGCCCGCCTTCAAACTTCCTGGCCTTTTTATAATCAGTATCAACCATATGTGGTGCATACCGGCGAGTTCAGTGAACTTAGATTCATATTCTGCTATTGACATAGTACCTTACTTCAATTGTTCAAATTTAGTCACCTTGCGGTCTCGGACACACTGGGGAAAATATTTCTCATAAAAGGCCTCCTTAAACTGAGCCAAAGTCATAGCATTATTAGTATCACGTATAAGCATCCACCACCATCTAGCTTCTCCTTGTAAGGCAAAGGTAGCCAGTAACACTTTGTGTGCCTCCGAACACGGAAACACTTCAAACAACTTCTCGGTTTCTAAAACCCATGCTTCGGCCTTTAGTGGCTCAAGGCCTCCTTGGAATATTGGTGGCTTCATTTTGTTGAACTTCTGTGTCAAAGCAAGTATATCATCATTGATGTTCGGTTTTGGCTGTACTGGAGGAGGTGGGGGTTGTTGGTTCTGTTGTTGCCTTAGGGCCTCAGTCAACAGTTCAACTATTCTTTCCAACCTTGCCATTCTTGCTTCAGATGATTCAGATTCATCGGTATTTCTTGCATTCTCCATTTTACTATATGCAATACGGTAATAATAAACATAGGAAATTGCTTACTTAAGCACATTAGCGCATTAGCACATATATTCATATCATGGCCACACAAACTTTCTCATGCTTATGCAATGCCTTAATTATTTTTCTAGGACATCTTATAGCTCATTTGGGCACGTGTGTGCAGTATAACTCGTGCTCTGATACCACTCTGTCACGACCTAAACCCGCCCCTAGGGGTTTAGTATCGTAACCGGCCAATAATCCGTGATTACTAAAGGCCTGCTTAATAGTAACGACAGTAATATAGAGTAAGGGGCTGGTGGAAGCCAAACAGTAAATAAAAGATGTCCAATGAGCTGTGAAAATCTGAATGGAAAAAGACTTTTATAGACTAGTCCACATCATAACCATAAACATATATACATATCAGATACACGCAACATACAGGTTAAGGATCCAATCCCTTCACCATAACTGTACAGTCAAGAGTCTTAAGTATTCATTACAAAACAGAGACAAAAAGGTGAAT